GATAACAAACTTAAGCCAAAAGTTCTAAATCCCACTAAATAAAAATTTCTGGGGGGCAGCAGAGGAACAGATCACTGAGGAAATGGAGGGGAGAAAATGATCAAAGAATGCAGAATTCCAGCACCGACAGATGTGAGTCTTCAGACTAAAATGGCCCCCCACTTCCCAACTCAATGCAAAGGGTTAAAAAAAAAAAAAGGACTCATACCAAGGCAGTGAAATATCAAAACATGAGGAATAAAGAGATGTTTTACAGGAACAATAGGCCATATATGTTGGAACAGGAAGTAGAATCACATCACCCTTCTCAAAAGAAATACTGAATGCTTGAAGGCTGACAAATAGTTGACAGATTCTGAGCAGAATTCTCAGAGATTTTCAACCTTGAATTTTATACTAATTGAACTATTATTATTAACCAGAAGCAGAGACAGAATAAAACTTTTTAAGACACATAATGGCTCAAGAAACATCTATTCTCCGTATCCTTTCCTAAGAATCTTAGAGAAATGCTCTAACAAAACAAAGGAAAAAAAAAAAATCACAACATGGACTGCTGTTTATAGGGGACACTGGTAGTTCCAAGGTTCAACAGACTGGAGAGCAACCTGCACAGACAGAGCAGAATAAAGTAAGGTTGAGCGGGTGGTAGTGGTTAAAAAACAACAAGAGAATAAAATATCTGTTGAGCATGAAAATTTTAGAATAAAAGACTGATGAGATTATGACAGATCTACAGGAAAAAATTAAGGCTAAGGACATTTAAGAGAGGAAAAAAACTGAAGTAATCATTAATGCCAGGAAAAATGAAAAAACTTAGCAGGAACTTAATTATACTCTATTACCTCACCCAGCAGTGAAAATAGTTACATGAGTGTAACAATGTAAACTGATTATACTAAAAACTGTGAAAAAAAAAAATCAGGAGGGATAGATATGTGAGAAAGTAAGTATGATAAAAATATTAACTATATAAACTAGGTGGGGGGAGGCACATGAGTTCTCACTGGAAATTTCTTTTACCTTTCTGTAGGTTGAAATATTTCATAACTATGTCAAGAAGAAACTTACAGGAAGTATCAGGAGGAAGGGAAATTGAAATGTTATGGTGTAAGTTAAATTTAAATCCTAATTCTACAAAAACAAAGAGTTAATATCTAAAACTGATAAACCAAGAAATATTGATAGCAGTATATAGATATTCCTTTAAAATATGAAAAGAAGTGAAGAACTGGAAAGTGGGTGCTTTTATGGCAGGTGAGTTTCTTATGCTAAGGCTTTTAGAACTATTTGGTTTTTTAAAATGTATGTACGTATTACATGACTAAAATGGATTTAAAAAAAAATGCAAGGTAAATATCAGTAATACAAGTGGTAAGGAATCAGCAAAAACTGTTGACAGTGGTATCCGAATGATAAAAGTTGGGAAAATACTTCAGCAGAGGAACAACTATCTTCCTCTGAAACCAAAAGGGTACTGCATTAAAAGAGGAAACATTTTTTAAGTCTCTAGTTATACCAAGATACCAATCTAACTCATCACCCAAAGTGACACAATTCTGAATAAAAAGGTATGCCATTAATTACCCAGGGACAACAGGTAGACAGTTTCAGAAAAGGCAAGACTTACGATCACACTAAGTACAGCCTCCATAAAAATCTTCAAACCAAGATGGGGATGCAAGAAAGCTCAAAAGTCAAATGATCAGCATTTAATGAGTGCCTACTACATGCCAAGTACTGCACTTGTTAATAGTGGCAAGAAAATAAATAAAAATGAGTAAGAAAGAATAAACGAATCTCAACCTGCCCAGGCATTTACTTTTATCTAGACTTCCTCTTTACTCAAGAAACCAAAGCACTATTTAAACCTTTCTCTGGTTCACTCCAGAGATGAGTGAGCTATAAGCAACCGAGATGGGTAGAAGCAAACTGTCATCTTGTTGATAGTAGTATGAAAACTGCCTTATTTCAAAGAACCTTCCTAAGCCACAAAAGTCACTGCCTAGTCTTAGAGGGCAATCCAGAACAAGAAACTTGTCCACAACAAAAATCAGCAGAGAGCCAGAAATCACCACTCAAGAAACACACTGACACTATAGGTTATTCGTTTTCTCCATAGGCACAAACTGCCTTTCCAAAGCTGGGGCCACTCACCTCCTCAGTCCTGACAGGTAGTGCAGTGCCACATGAATGAATGCAATGGATCAGCATTCCATTGGAAAACAGCTACCATTCTGATTTTTTTATGGAATTCTTTTGGGTTAAAAGGCAGATGACTGAAGTCAAGGTTCACACACAGCAGCATGTCCCAACAGTTAGGTCTCAAATGAGTTATAGGTGTGCTTGGATACAATGTCCCCTCAGTTCTCAAAGCAGCTGGGATCCCAGGATGGTGGGTAACCTCCCCACTTGTACCCCCATGAAGTACTAATCCTATCACATGGTTAAAAACAATCACAGTCATGAAAAGACTGGGAAGCTCTGAGTAAGGACCCGGTAAGCATAAGACAGGGGAGAAGCTCATGCTCACGACCCACTGTCACCACCTAGGGGTCTCTAATGCAGAGACAGAAAGGTGCTGCAAGCTCTTCCTGCTGTAGCAGTTCATTTAAAAAAAAAGAGAGAGAGAGGCAGCACTACTAACCTCAAACGTCCCTAAGAAATACATTTCAGTCATGACAGGAGGTCTCCTGTTTCATTTCTGACTGAGCCCATTATCTTATCCCTAAAATGACACTATTCACTCAGGTATAAGGTTTAATGTTTGAGAAATTTCTACTCAAAAAAGGAAGGGTGTGATAATCCAACTCTTTCAGGGACATAGTTATGAAAACTGTAATTAAGAGATATATCTTACTTACAATAGCCTCACAAAATGTACCTTAAGGCTAATGTTTTAAGGGTATTTAAAACTTACAAGTGGGTGTGGAGCCTAAACTAGTTTTTTAGTTAATTTTTGTCTTCTTTGAAGATGGGAGTGGACAACACAAGGTTTGGGGTTTCTATAGTTAACTAGAAGTTATTCTTATTTCAAGGCCAATTTTCTTACTCAAAAAAGGAATAAGTGTAGAAAAGCAAATATAGTTTGCACCTGTATATTTCACTATTTTCCTGCTGCACCTAAGAGGATAAGCAACCAGAACTTATTCCGGAAACTACGATAGCTGGTTAAGCAGGTCGAATGAAAGTGCTGTAACCTGGAAAACACAATGCAAAAAGCAATTCGACAGGTGGGGTCTAAGCACAGTTATTAAAACTTACAGTTACAAAAAGGCGGGAAGTCTATTCAAATAAGATTTTTCATAATGACATGACACAAATTTTGCTAAGTACATTTTTATATTGGCTTGTAATTTTGTAACATCAGGATCTTATCATTTAACATGCCCCTTTCAAATGATAAAAGGGCCAAGATAAATTTCAGTATTTGAGAAACAAACAAAAAAATGGGGCCAATAACTTAACTTTCATGGATTTAAAGGCTGTCGTCGACATTGAGTTTACCAATGGGTCTCAAGTATTTCCCTAGTCTCATGCTTTGCATTTATCTACCACATGTATGGGAACTTTGAGCTCTAAATTAATTTTAGCTTCAAGGAATGGTCTAGATAGGGTTATGTGATCAACTTCTGAATCACTGGGCCTAGAAACAATCACTACAGCAAAGGTGTGTGACTTGGGGGGTCAATGAGTGGAAGAGCAGGTAATTGATTATTACTCATGTCACAGAACTTATTAATCTGCAGGAAATATCTGGGCATTTAGAAAAGTATTTCTAGTATGGATCATGTTCAAACTTTAAAACATGACAGTGAGAGAACTTATAAAAACATCTGGTAGAAATTAACCAATAAAATTTTTTAAAGTAAATTTATGTTCAGCTTTTGTGTAGAATAGTCCTTAGTTTTGCTTATAAAATGCATAAAACCGATTTTATCTTTAATCATCTAATGCATTTATGCCCAAAAGATAAAACTTGCACAGGAACCTTTAGTATGAATGGTAGGAAAATGATCAATTTTAATAGCTTAGTTTCCAGTAGATCAGTTTCAAAGGCAATTTACAATGCTGAGGTCAGAACTGATCATTTCTGTCAGGACGCTCTTCAGGTTTTAAAACGCCCTCTTTAGCTTTATCTTCCCTGAATGACAACAGTTCAGAGATCATACATACTTCAGCTGGATAGCTCATAAGACACCACAGGATGCAATCAAATGTTTGAACCGATAAATTACCATCACAAAAATAAAATTTTAATTGTGGACTTTTTCAAGCAATCAAAAATGCCCAATCCTTAGACTAGAAACTGTAACAACTCTCTTTCTAAACACGTGCCCTGGATCCTCAACCACGGAGAAAACTAATAAGGTTTTAGGCATCACATCGTTTTTCTGCATGACCAAAACCTGCAGGTTTTCAGCGTTAGATTTCTGTTACCCACGGCAGGGCCTAGAACAGGAGGCGGTTGCGCGTGAGCAGTATGTCTTTTTTTAACTCCAGCAAGAGCCCCGCAAATGGTAAACGCCAAGAGCCCGATTCTCATCCTTCTGGCCCCTCCATCCATCCTTGACGAAATGGTTATAATTCTGGCGGGACCTGGGGCACAACACTCTGGTTCTGGAAGGACAGAGCGAGTGCGTGGGTGTGTGTGAACACTGCAGGAGGGGGCAGCAAGACGTGATCACGGAGTGGGAGGGAAGAATGATGATGCCTCTTCTAGGGCGGGAAGAAACTACGAGAGGTAGCTGTTATGCATGACGGGGGCAGGCACGCGGGGAAGATGGTGGTGGCCGCAGGGTAAGGTGATTACGGGGGGGATTCCCTGCTACTGGACGGCGCTTGGGGTCGCCTGCGGTGAATGATCCTGGAGCAACTAAACGGGCACGACCCTGAACCCGGGAATTCCTGACGAAAAGGGGGAAAAAGGCGCCGAGAAACGGGGTTATTATGGGATGGCAAAGGGGGGCTCCCTGGGGAAATTACGGGATCTATCTCACCCTCCAATTGCTGTACAGTCTCTTCACTCGTCGATAATAAGCGTCTTTGTCGAGAGTTACAGCCATAGCCACAGACGCCGCTTCTCCTCGGGTTCCGAGAATCACGCGAGGTCCCGGCTCCGCCACCCTCACTCGGCCCCGGAATCCCGCACTCTCCCAGTGACCCGGAAGTATCGACCTCAAAGATGCCCTTTCCGCTTCCGGGTCCCGGCAGCGATCGGGATTCTTTTTTAAAAAAAATCCTTCCTCCGGAGGTTAGGGGGAGGTGAGGAAGGAAGAGTGGGGGAAGCAACAAAACGTGTAACGCAAGAAGAATCCAGATTTTCGCGGGGTTTTCTTGTCAACTTAGCAACAGCCGCACGCGAGTCGACGTCATCACGTGATGCTCTGCTCTGCTCCCGCTCTTAATCTCCCCGGGGCCGAGGTCTCCTGGAGCTCCGATTGCGTGTCGAGGCGGCGGCGGCGGCGGCTGCTGCTGGGCACTGAGGAGGCGGGAGCCCTAACGTGCCGGCCCCGCCCCACACAAACTGCCGCCCGCGAATGCAGTGGCCCCACCCATAGGCAAAGGAAGGGGAAACGGAGAGCGGGATTTGGGGTGGGAGTGGGAAGCCTACAGCATAACTGGGTTTCTCGCTCTCCTAGAAAATGTGGGGAAGCAAAAGCTTCCTGCCTCTCCAGGCCTGGACGGATCTTCCGTGCTAGGACGCTGGGTTAGGGGCTCCAGGCAGACAGGGGGCTCCAGGCAGACAGGGAGCTCAAGCCGGTAAGAGGGAGCCCACCCTGCGGATAAACTTAACTTAGGCTGGCGCTACGGGGGAAGGACTTCGCCTTTGAAAGGGAAATTAAATGCCCAGGCTTCATTTGAGCGCTAGGACGGTAGGGGAGGGGTCATAGGAAACAAATGCGAGCCCGAGTCGTGACAGCATCCTTCCAGTCAGCAAGTCTCCTTGCCACAGTTCATGAAGTGACAGCATTTTTACGGCTTCCCCGAAACAATTTCAGTTAATTCAAAACAAAATGTACGTGGGTCTTGATGGAAATTCTTCTTTCTCATCTCTTCGAGAACTTGGGATTTTTAATCTGGGAACATTTTGCCTACTATTTTAGCTTAGATCATTTGGCAAGGTGGAAAGCCTATGCTTATGTACAAGCTTTTCACGGAGTACGGATGACTTGTCTGCCCTATCCAAGGTAACTTCACACATTAAGTAACTTCACAACTTTAAGAAAGTGGTGTTGAAATTACCCATCATGAGCATCAAGTGGTAATATTTATATTGGGTTTGAGCAAATATAGAACGAGGGAAGAGTGGGAAAGGATTAACTTAAATTTATTAATGCCAAGGGGAAGGAAGGTAACAGTTCCTGACCCTCCAGCTGTATCCACAGTTCGGTCAGGAACAGGCTCTGCCAGAGGCTAGTGCCAGCGCTACATAGTCTGTGGTTAATGGAGGTGTCTAGGGAGGGGTGAGCACATTGGCTGCTCTAGTCTCCTTTCCTTCCCCAGAACCGAGGAAGTAATGTATTATTTTAGGAGTTCCCCTACCCACCCAATCCTCTCAAATTTGGAAGCAATCAGGTACAAGTGTTCTTTTTCCTTTTCACCTCCTGGAGTCCTGGGTCTGTCTCCCCACATCTCCCCTGCCCCTCCCACTTTTCCATAGTCCAAGGGCCAGAGTAAAGGAAATACAGCAGCCACCCAAGCAATGGGGACCATGCTGGGTCTTCAGTCATCAGCATCTTCGCTGGAGTCTGAGTTGGCTGGCATCATAGGATCATCAATGAGTGAGAAGTCCCTTTCTGAGCTATCATAGCCCTGAGATAAATCATCATCATCATCTTCATCCTCATCGTCCTCATCCTCCTCAGGTTGCAGTGGTGGCAACCGCAAGGCAGTACCAGAGGTGGTAGTGGCTGGTGAAGAAGGGTAGCCAGTGGCTCTCAGGCCTGGATGGTGATGGTGGTGATGGTGGGGGTGGGGGTTGTGGTGGTGGTGATGAAGCATGGTGCTGGAGTCTACATGAGGGGATGATGCTGCACCACCCATCACAAATGGCATAAAAGGCAAAGATGCAGAAGTGGCACTGCTGTGACCCAGAGATGACACAGACTGCAGGCCACTACTGCTGTGTTGGAAGGTATTATGCAGAGACAGGGACCCAGTGCCTCCACCCTGCATCAGGGCCATCATCTTAGAAAGGTCTGGTCGCGTCCTTCGGGCCCGCTTCTTGCTGGTGTCAGGTGCAATAGGCCCTGGCAAAACCCGGTTCAACACAGTTTCAGCATGATGACCCTGGGAAGAAGGAAGAGAAGATAGTCAAAGGAAGAAAAAACAAAAGAGAAGTCAACAGAGTCCTAGCTTGCAAATGCTTTTTCACTGAACTGTCTTTAGGAGGGGCAAAGTAAGTATAGTCCAGCGAGACTTGATGGTAATGGGGACGAGGTAAAGCTGGATGTAGCAGGTTGAAACATTATGATGCTGAAGCTAAATGCAAACATTTGACACCGACACTCATCTGAACCAGAGCTTTGATTTTTTTTCCCACGCAGGAGGAGAAGGGGACAACAGAGGATGAGATGGCTGGATGGCATCGCCAACTTGACGGACATGAGTTTGTGTAAACTCCGGGAGTTGATGATGGACAGGGAGGCCTGGTGTGCTGCAATTCATGGGGTTTCAAAGAGTCGGACATGACTGAGCAACTGAACTGAACACGATACCTTTACTCTGGCCAACCATTTCAAAATTGCTTACTTTTGTTAATAAGAAGCCTGAGTAAGACAATGAATGAATCAGTACTTGTACGGTATGCTCTCCTGATGGCAGATTGTTCACATGAGCTTACCATGTGAAGGACAGCACAACCATACTGACATATACAATATTATCCTTCATTTTTGCATCAGAATGGGGTAAACTCAAGACAGACCAGATTAAGAGTCTGGATGTCTAGAACACCAAAAAGACTACTGGGTAGCTCCTTAGCAAATTTACTAAAATACTTTTTTCTGCACTATAATAAACTTACATATCTGCTGAATTTTGAATTGCTTCATGTAAATGGGCTCACTATAAATTCTGGTTAAGTTCACTTAACCAGAAGCTGGAACATTACTAGACCTAAGTACAATACTGAGTAAACTTGCATTAAACTCAGACAGTTACAAACATCTCAATACTTAATTTTTTATGCTTTTAAAATGTAACTGTAACTACCAGGGCTTCCCTGGTAGCTCAGATGGTAAATAATCTGCCTGCAATGCAGGAGACCCAGGTTTGATCCTCTAGGTCAGGAAAAACACCCAGAGAAGGGAATGGCAACCCACTCCAGTATTTTTGCCTGGAAAAACCCTGTGGACAGAGGAGCCTGGCAGGCTAGTTCATGGGGTCAAAGAGAGTCGGACATGACTGAGCAACTAACACACTTTCACTTAACAGCACCAAATCATATTAGGATGCAATAATAATACAGTGCTGGATACATATCAATTTTTCAGTAAGAATACTGTACTAATCACATAATTTTCTGTGATTTGCTATGATCTTTTTCTTAGAGTTAACAACTGATTATAAAGAAGAGCAAAAGTACTTGAGGTAAAAACAGGTAATCCTGGAGAAAAAGCCTTCTTTACAGGCTGCTCTATAATGTTAAATTCAACACAGAGACGGTATCAGCCTTCTTGCCATCAGCCTCCCATATCAACCACTCACCTTATACCCTTGGGCCCATGGAGGATAAGAGAGAAAAATAAAACATTCTTCCATGGCAACAATCTTTCACCCAGTATAAAAACAATAAGCCTTATACATTCACCTCACAAATAAATACATATTATGGGCAAAACAATGTTCTCAGAATTTGTTAAATGCAAACGATAGATATTTTTCATTTGGGAATTTTGTTAAAAGATAAACCACTATATATATATATGTGTGTGTGTATATATATATCTATACCACATACATATAAAGATGTATATAGAAGATCAAAAAGGGAATGATTAGATAGAGTATACAAAGTATTAATCCATTTAAGTGTTTACCAAACCCTGATTTATAGGTTTATATTTACACAACTATTGTCCAAAGTAAGGCAAACATAGCCAGGAGAAACTTTTGCAGTTATATTTTTGATGGAAAGGATTATGGGTTCTTAATCCACCAAATCTATAACCACATAAAAGTATAAGCACACTTGAAAATCATGGAATAACATAATGACCAAAATTGTTGTTATAAACTATAGAACATGATTTCTTGTCTTTTTCCATTACTGGAATATTATTAATGATTCTCAACATCGTCTATGTTGAAAAGCCTATTAAAACATGGCTGTTTTAATAGGTTCCAAATCACTTCTTGAGGGGGGCTGTGCTGTGCAGCTCTGCAGGTTCCCCCATCATGTACTGAACTCCAGGCCCTCAGCAGTGAAAGTGCAGAGAGTCCTAACCACTGGACTGCTAGAGAATTTCCCAAATCACTTCTAAAATATAAAACTTTTAAGAGATTATTTGCTCCCAAACCTTCAGTTTTTCAGGATATACAAATTGAAAAAGTTAAAAGGATTTGCCAAAAATCCCTTAGTCAGTAGAAGAACAGGATAAAGCACTGAATTTTCTAACATGTCTTACTAATTCTTACATTTTAATATGCTTGAAGTGCTAAAGTTAGCTTTTAGAACTTCATGCTCTTCTAGAGATGAGGATACTACAGGACTATAAAAATATTAATAAAAATATTATGATTTCTTTGCGAACTGAGGATAAATTTTCTCAAACACGGGAAAAAAAGATAAACATTAAATGATTTCTCTAGTCATATCTAGTATGAGAACAGAGTGGTAATATCTTAGTTTCACTCACCTTTTTTCCATTCCTAGAGTTAGCTGTCTGTACTGGTTCTATTCCCAAACAGTTCAATTCTGCCTTATTATTTTTTTTATATCTCTGCCATTTCTGTTTTCTGCGATCCTCCATATACTACAAGAGAAAAGTTGCAGTTATCCTAAAAGAATAAAACTTCTCTGGAGTAATTATTAAGATACTAGTGTCTATTCTGACCATAA